AAAGATGTCTTAACCTTGGTATTAGTGGAAAATACCACACAACCTTCGCAGGTGTTGTGTCTTTCTTTAGGTATCGTGATACATTACACTTTGGACATCTCCGTAGTGATGCATACTCATTTCGGAACAAAATGCAGTCATTAGGACAAGCATGTATCTTTTCATGGGTCAATCCAATGGAAGCAAGTACTTGTTTAGCCTCATATGTTCTCTTCGGTAGCACATTATCTTCTGGCAGCATCTCATGTAATAAACTTAGCAGCTCTGTGAAGCTCTTATCAGTCCATCCATTCGATGCTTTTAAGTTATAAAGCTTTAAAACAAAACTCAATCTTGTGAACTTTATACATCCATTATACAATGGTGTTTCTGCATCATCTTTCAGCCTCTCAAACATCTTTGGACAATCTCTATGATCTTCTTCAACAACATTTGGAATTTGTTCAGCATGATCACTCTCATTTGTTCTAAATGTCTCTGAGTAATTGACACTTGATTCCATGTTAGTTAATGTACTTTCACCTTGTATCTCACCGTGCTTTGTCCAACAAGCATGTTTTTCATCTATCCCATTGCACATTAGATGTTCTTCCAATTCTTCCGCATTTACTTGTAACATATTCAAACAACACCAACAAGGACAGGGAATAAGGTTGACATCAGTTGCATTCTTAATCGCAAATCTAATAAACTCTTTGACTCCGTCTTCGTATTCTTCACTTAAACAATCAGCTACCATCCAACTTCGATCCATATTTGCTCCAACTATGGTTATGATCATTATAAATGTGAATGTCTTATTAACTCTCACATGGTAGGGCCTTATCCCATTTGAGAACAAACTTTTTCCAACCTTAATTAACAAATGCTACTTAAATGTTGTATATTTTACTTGACAAAATTTGGGCAGCATTTCGCATTAGTCTCCTAGTACACAACTTGAAATATATGAGATGATTTACCTCAATCAAGCATGCACCAAGAGACAATGAGAAATGTTTCAAACTCAAATTAAGTATTAAATACAACATTATGAGAAGCAAATGCTAACAAATTAATGAATAAATTTGTTAACAAACTGTCCAACTTGGACAATTCAAGATTCAAAATAATGATTTATTAAAACATTATTTTCAATCTCAAATGGGAAACTATGGTTTCACTCAATTTTACAACGGTAAATCATAACCTACAAAGTTTCATCACTAAGAATAATCATGCATTCATTACATTCTACAATACAACATCAAATTCATTCACACACAGAGGAAATATACATTTTGGGGGCAAAACAAACAAGAATATCAAAAATTTTAAATGCCTAATATCATAGGTTAACAAACACAACAGCATGCTCTTCCATTATAACTAAACAGCTGTGCCCTAATATCATGTTCAACAAATCCTAAAAAACCATTCCAACAACATTTCAGCGGTTAACAAACTATGATTCAACCTGCCCATATCAACTTTTACAAAATAAAAAGTCATTTCATGCTCATTTGTTCAAGCGGCAGCAATGGTTAACATGTAAACAATATTCAGTTCATACAAATTATAAACACAACAGCATGCACTAACTGGAATTAAGAAACGAGTGCAAATTTGTTGCAGTTCAGCAGGAGACCAGAAATGGAGGAGACGTTGTCACTGTTCAACGTCAAAAACAGAGATACGTATCAGTGAACAGAGAGAATGAGAGACTGCGAATGTCCAAAAATGGCCAGAAAACAAAGAAAAGATTATGAATATACCTTCAATGTGCGATTGCGATGTCAGGTGTACTTCTTCCTCTGCAAAAAATTTCTCAAAGAACACTGAAACACAGAGAATTTTGAAGTACAGGCTTAGTGGGACGACAGGGATAACCCAGTTAGAGTTTTAAAAATACAACTTCTGAGAGATATGGATATCTGAGAGCAGTTCCATATGAACCGCTCTCAGATGTCCATTTAGAGAGCGGTTCCATATGAACCGCTCTGAAATGTCAATATTAGAGAGCGGTTCCAGTTGAACCGCTCTCACAAGTTCATGTTAGAGAGCGATTTCGTTTGAACCGCTCTCATAAGTACATATTAGAGAGCAGTTTTGTCAGAACCGCTCTCTTAGATTTATATACAAAGCGGTTATTACTAACCGCTATCTAATTTGACGCTCGAAAAGCTAATTTCTAACGTAGTGTTTAATACTTCATGGATGTGAGATATCCTATATTCTATTTCAAAACTTAAATATTTCTTTAGATTTCTCATTTTTAAAGTTAAAAAATAGTTTAAAAAGTTAATAATAATTAAAAATAGTGATATAAAAATTACTTGATCATTTGCGAATTATAAGGTCAAGCATGTGAATGTTTTCATATCTGTTTGTAAAAATAAATATTTATATACTTTTAAAATTCAAATAAATAATTTTAATTGTAAAATTTTTAGTTTTATTTTCAAAATAAATTAAATAAATAAAATTCACGCAACAATTAGTAATATATAAATTATTCCATCATTCGCACATTATAAAATTATAAGGGTATTAGATTAGTCATATTGTCTAATACTATATGCATGTGAATTATTATATATTATTTTTATATTTAAATACCAATTTTTTTACCTTTTCTTATCTAAAAAAATATTTCTTTAAGTTTGCATTACGATTAAAGATAATAATGTGTAAATTATTTTATTATTTACAAACTATACAAGCTTAAAATTAATTTTTATCCTAATTTTAGAAAAAATTAAAAAAAAAATCTTTCTCTAAATTATTTTAACATTCTCAAAACGTTTACTTTTGTTTTTTAAATATCTTTTAAAAAGTTTTACTTTAATCTCCTTACAACATCTTTTAATAAGGTTATTATTTTTTATTTTTTGAACAAATTTGCAACCTTGATTTCTCTATTACAAAAGGAGATAGGTAAAAATATGGATTAAAAACTTGTTTAATACCTTCTCAACAAATAATTAGACTCTAGACTATTTTTTTCTTAAATTTTCTTTAATTCTTTAAAAATCTTATTTTTCAATTTCTATAATATTTATTTTTATCTTTCCATATTTGATTCACCATTTTCATCTTTTTCATGTTAGCAAGCTTAGATACCACACTATATATTTTAATTTTTTAATTATATCCTATTTTATGTTGAAAAAAAAAAGACAAAAAGATGTGATAGATTCATCTTATTTTATTTATCCCTTAACTCTCCTAGTAAACTTGAAATATTAAATTTCACTACCTTGATAACTCAATAATAATAATAATGATATATTATTGCATCGGGTCGAGGATTGTGAAATTGTGTAATTAATGTTTTTAATTATTTTTTAAAGCAAACATTTATTTTATTTAATCCCTTTTAAAGTACTTATTTCGATAAGTAATAAATAATTTTTGAAATGGCAAAGGAAATTTATGTCGTGCAAGAAATCTACTTGTCCTATAATAGCATATGGGCGCTTACTAGTTACTTTGTAAAAGCAGATAATAACACTTTTTCAAAGTAAAGAGCACTTAAATTATTTAGTTGTGATTTTTGTGTCAAACTCCCTATCATTGTGGTCCGAACAGCTATGAAGCATCCTTGCTCGGGTGTTAATTTGATTGCAAGATTTGTTGGTTTTGAATGGCAGTAATGGGAATGAGGGAGAGCACGAGGAGGAAGTAGAGTGGGGGTAGCGAGAGCGAAATGGTGTAAAAGCTCACCAATAATTCAATATCACTTAAAATATATATAAGACTTGGTACCGATGGGGTCGTACTTCCACATCATCACACAAAATCATGTTAACGACAATAATTAAAATTACTCTATTTTAAATGTTAGAAATCACACGATAAATTCAAATCAAATCTTTTAAACCAAAATTACAGATATATGTTTATAGGAAATAAAAACTTATAAGGTCGATGAATATGATAGGATAAGAATAAATAAAGAAATAAAGATAGAATATAATAAAAAAATGATAAATTTTAATCTTATTCTAAGTCTGATATATATCACAGTAATAAACAGATAATACTGTACCATTCATTTTAACATTTGAGATAAATAAAAAGTAATAAAAAATAAAAAAATATATTTAAATAATAATATTATTCTTTTATCAAAATTAAAATAATTTTTAAAATATATATACACTGATATTTTTAACTCATGTACTGCATGGAAGTATTTTGTTAAAAATAAAAATTTATTTAAAAAATAATTTTACCAAATTAATATTTATAGTGTAAAAAAATTATAATATATATATATATATATATTATATGACTTTATTAATTTTTTAAAATTAAAATTTACTTTTAGGTAAGAATTATAATTAGGACAAAAATTATAAACTTTTAAAAAATATTTTTAAATGATTAAAAAATTTATAATTTTTAAATATAATTTTCTTAAAAATATTTTAAATTATTTTTTATTAAAATGTTCATATGATTTTTTATAAAAAATATAAAATTATAATTTTTTAAGTATTTTTATAATATATTAAAAACAATATAAAGTATAAATAAAAATATAATAAAAAAGTCATCCTATTTTAATTTTTTCAATCATTTTCTGGGAATAAAAATTTGAATTATAATAATAGAATATACTAACTGCAAATAAGTTATCATGTCGGTTAATAAACAAACACCAAAATTAAGATAATATAGGATAAATTATTTTATCTTTTCATTTTATCATATCCACCAAAATCATGTAAAACTTGTGATGGTAACGATCTATCTATTGCATCATTACTTAAAAGTGAATAATGATTATGACAATAACTAAAACTAGGTGAATTATCAATACTAGAAAACTCAAGCTAAATTCAAATAAAAAGAAATTAAAACAAAAATAAAGATATTTATAAGGAACGAAAGGTAACACGTATACTGAAGGAGGTGTAGACCACTCTGCAAAATATCTACAGGCTACTTGGTATGTATGGCGATGGGATTGACGTTATCTTATCGTTATCTAGTTTAATAAGAGAGTTGTAAAAAGTCTAGTTCTATTATTTTGACGTATTTGAATATTTATTATATGAATGATGATATTTCTCACAGCCAAATTTGACCCGCTCTTTGGATTGTAGCAGAGAGCATAGAAGAAGCCAATGACCGTACTAGTTTTATTCGCTGTCTTGTATACATTATATTTTATGACCATCCTTGTTCTTAGTTCCCATTCCCAAGTGTTGAAAGAAAGGAAAGAGAGGATGAGGATCGATGATTTGCCTCGGGAATTGGTGTCCAACGTGCTTTCAAGGTTGCCCGTGAAGGTGTTGATGCTATGCAAGTGCGTTTGCAAGTCCTGGTTCGATCTCATAACCGATCCTCATTTTATTACCAATTACTATGTTGTCTATAACAATCTTCAAACCCAAGATGAGCATCTCTTGGTTATTCGGAGACCCTTTCTTTCTGGCCTCAAAACATACATTTCTGTTCTTTCTTGGAATGTGAATGACCCCAAAGAACTTGTTTCCTCTGATGTTTTGAACCCTCCCTATGAATACAACTCTGACCACAAGTATTGGACCGAAATCATGGGTCCTTGTAATGGCATATACTTCTTAGAAGGCAATCCTAATGTCATGATAAATCCTTCTCTGAGACAGTTCAGGGCTTTGCCTGATTCCCGTTTCACTAGTCCACATGGGACTCATTCTATCACTGATTATGCAGGGTTTGGCTTTGACCCCAAAACTAATGACTACAAAGTTGTTGTGGTCAAAGACCTTTGGTTGAAGGAAACAGATGAAAGAAAACTTGGGTACTGGACAGCTGAGTTGTATAGTCTTAATTCCAATTCATGGCGAAAACTTGATGATGCTCTCCCACTTCCAATTGAAATTTGGGGTTCTTCTCGGGTTTACACTTATGTTAACAATTGTTGTCATTGGTGGGGTTATGTTGATGAGTCTGATAGAACAGAAGATGTTGTTCTAGCATTTGATATGGTTAATGAAACCTTCAGGAAGATAAAGGTACCAAGAATCCGTTGTTCTTCTGAGGAGGAGTTTGCAACTCTTGCACCCTTCAACGAATCTGCTACAATTGGTGTCATTGTTTACCCCGTAAAGGGAACAGAGAAGCGCTTTGACGTGTGGGTGATGAAAGATTACTGGGACCAAGGGTCTTGGGTTAAGCAATACAGTGTTGGACCCGTGCTAGTGATTTACAAGCTCGTGGGGTTTTATGGGAGCAATCGATTTCTTTGGAAGGACAGCAACGAAAGGTTGGTGCTTTATGACTCGGAACAAACAAGGGATCTTCAGGTTTATGGAAAGTATGATTCAACAAGAGCTGCGAGGTACATGGAAAGTCTTGCTTCACTTCACAGGGGAAACGAAATTGGTCACCAATGTTTTTCGTGTAGTTTTGTTCCAGACCCTTTACTACATCAAAGTGAGTGATCTTTGTTTGTTTCCTTTTTATAAATTGAACTAGAATTGATTTTTCAGAGACTTTGTTAGGGACTTTGGTCTGCTTTAGTGCTTGTAGATCCAGAGCCTTTTAGTTAGTTGTCACGCAAGATGACATTATCTGATAGCATCTTTGATGTATTAGTTAAATAATAGTTTTCTTGTTGAAGAAACTCAGGTTTTTGCACGACCAAGGAGGCGCAGGTGTTAGCACTTTCGTCTTTTGAATGTTAGAAATTGAAACTTAAGATTGTTGAATGTGCATCAATCTTCGTTTTAGATGGTCCAACAAAATTAAAATATTTATATTACAAATTAATTGCATTAATTTTTATTTAATTTTCATGAATAAAATATTATCTACAAAAAATGATGCAATTTATTTTATGGAGAATCTTTTATTGATTTCTTCTTGTTATGGAAGTTGTGGAAACTGGAGACTTCCACTTAAGGATGATCTCAATGCTAGTAACTATCTTGCCTTGGCTTTGTTTTTCGTCAATACATAAACTGAATCGTTATATTTGATTGGAAAGTATTGTTTAGACGTCCAAAAATAAACATTTAAAGTTGTTTTTTTATATGATTTATAATGTATTTTTAGGATTATTTATATAAAAAGATAAAAAAAAAAAGTTACAGATAAAAAATAATTATGTAGAATATTATATATATAATGTCAATTTTTAATTTTCCAAACAACCAAAATATATTTAAGGAGGATATGTAAGTTTTACATAAATTTATCTATTATCTAAATTGCTATAAACGAACTACACGACGTCAAAAGTAGAGCTTTAAAGTTTTATTTTTATTTAAACGATTTCTTTAAGTAAAAAAAAATATTTGATTAAACAATTCACTTAAGCAAATATTTATATACGTTGCTTTTATTTTTCTCTTACTCACTTTCTTCTCTTTTATCATTCAAAACTTCAATTGCTACAACTCCTTCAACCTATCTCCTCCGTTCTCCTTTTGCTCCTTATTTCACACTTCATAATCATACACCTTTATCATTTTCATATGATTTTCACTGCATGGTCACTCCCATTATTTTTTAATATCTATTTCTATTACAAACAAAATTGTTCAATAATTATGTCCTTTCTATCTCTAGCATTCCTCTCTCTTATTTTCAATGGTCAAGTTAATTCCCTCTTTTTCATCACTCTTTGGATTTAGAATTTGAATTGATATAGTAAATATGTTTTTATTATTCACTATTGTTCGTGAATAAGTGTACCCGTAAAAAAATAATAAATAATTCTAAAATAAGTTTTTGAAATAATGTTCCACAAGTATTGTTTCTAATTAGAATTTTAAATTTTTTTTAATTTAATTATTTAAATTTAAAGTATATGAAATTAAATACAAGAAGAATTTAAATATGAAAATAATTAAAATAGAATTAATAATAGTGCAAAACAATAAATTAATCAAGATGAATCTAGGGTGTATGGTTTCACCTTTTCAATTTTTTATATTTTTTTTAGATTAATTGTAATTTCAATTTTTCTATGATTATCAATCACTTATACTAAATTTATTGATACTCAATGGTCATGCAATGTTAACAATATTTTTCTTAAGCTATTACTCCCAATGATCATGTAAGATAAAAGGAAGAAAAAGATTAAAAGACCTATGAGCTGTTAATTTAATAACGATTGAAAGAGAAAAATTAAATTTTATTTGCTTAATTCTTTGTCCCATTTTACCATATAAATCCATTTGTTGTATATGGTACGATCACCTACAATATAATTAATTATAATATATTTAAGAGTTATCAATTACAAACATATAAATATAGAATAATAGGGTAAACACTAATCAAGAAAGAAAACATGAAATTATTATTGATAAAAAAAAATATCTCATAAAATCATGCAAAGAATTCACCATAGCTCTAACTATGGATTTAGCTAGACATAATATAAAAAGAAATCAAACAATACTAAACAAATCCATAACACTCAAAAAGTAAATGCAAACTAAAAGAATCTCCAATAGAGGAGAGATGAGAAGAGTTCTTCATCCGACACATTCTCAAAGCTCTAATAGTCGTCAATGACTAGATAATACCAAGATTGAAGATGTGGAAGAGATGAGTAAAGGCGTGAAAGGGATAAGACATAAACAAGATAAAAAAATGAGATGTAAAATGTAAAAATAGGATCATAAGTTGCTGCCCTTGATGTAACGCCTAAATTTTTTTTTTCACCTTTTGAAATACGCAAACTTTTCAATGAATTGGGGGAAATAAAAATGGATTTGTTGCGAAACATGCGATATAATAAAATAGTAAGACTAAAAATTCCTACCAATAAATCTATTTATGAAAATTTCAAAGATTCTACAATTAACAAAAATGTGATTTAAAACTTTAATAATTTCCATTACACAAGAATCAATAAGGAAATAAAATGCATAGCTAAATTTCATTTAATACATGAATTTAATATTTACAAACTGTATCTCAAAATATATCAGGACTTAAATTAAAAATTTACAAAATCAAAATATACTACATCCCAATGAGCAGATCACTCATATCCCAAAATACTGAGACCATGACCCTGGTCTTCATCACTATGCCAGCTCTCTATCTTGTCTAGTGTAACATCCCTCTTTCATATTGAAATTAATTTATATTTAACACTAATATTATTAAAACATAATTAGGAAAATTTGTATACTTTGTATAAATGATACAGTATGGAAACATGAATTAGAAAACTTGACGAATTTACAATATTTCTTTAGAAATATACAAATATATTCTTCACACAAGATTTCTCTTTTAAAATGAATGAAAATACATTAAAAATTTATACATTTATTTCATAAAACTTTATTATATCCGAGCAGTTCTTTTCCTATAACTCCTTGATGAGTATGACCCTAGAACAGATCATTTGTCTCCATTTCTTCTTTTTCATTACCTGAAAATAATCAGTAAGGGTGAGTATTTCCTGCCCACTAAATCTTTTTTAGTATATCTTAACTAATAATAATAATTAGAGTCGTAGCCTAATACTTTATTCTAATTCATTCTCATTCAAATACATGTAGTCATACAATCATTCATCAAGCATATATAACATTTCACTCATTATACATACATTTCTATGCTGACCTGTATGTTATTATACATGTATCATATCATTTCAATGCATGTGTCACGATACATCTATCCCAGTAACACCCGTCGATGTACTACAACACACGTACCATAACAACATGAACTGATCTGCTACGATACATATAACATATCATACATATTCTTTACCACCTCTCATCTATATCCCTTTCATCATAATAATTACCCCTGGGATCCCTTGAAGACTTCTAGCATAGATAGCTGCTGGCTGGTCGCAACATCGCGGATACACGTGTGCCGCCCCGGCCCCTTTTAGCAAAGGTATAGTCAGGAGCTTCGTCGGGAGATGAGGGTGTGGCCTGTGAATGTTTATTTTCAATAATTTATTGTGCACCCTTTTCATTGTTAACATTCACCATCCTCATTTCCCTAAGATTTTCCAAATCTTCTCCTTAACTCTATACCCCCAGTGTATCGTTGTACTATCTATACTCATTCTCTTTCTCATTCTCAACATTTCTCATTTCACATTCTTTACATCAATCAGCATGTCATGATTCATGAGTCACAATTTATATAAATTCATGGATTACAATATATATGATAACACACCCTTTCAATGTGCTATAATTTATATCATAATCACTATGTTTCAAGTTGCATGGACTCATGTAATATAATCATGCCTCATATTCTTTCTAAATCATATTCTCATTTCTCATTCATACATCACATGCTTTCACTTTTATTCAGCACTTCATTCACTTTCATAATTCTACTAGTTCAACATGTAAAGTTGTCATACAAAGTCATATTACGCAACCAATACAATACATCAAACTTATCACAAAGATTACCACGCAATATCACACCATACCATCAATACAATATGCTGAGGGCCGAACACCTTCGGACTCAGCCCAGCTCGTACAATCTCAATATATAGTCTCCTAACTTAAAGTTCATTATAGTATATCTTTTATTACTTAATTCATATACATCTTAAGGAACTCAGTTCTAAAATCTCTTAATACTATTTAAGCCCATATTTTCTCTAACAATCTGATATTATCAGTTTAAAATAAACTCCAAACCTCTCTTTATATCAAAATACACCTTTGTCATATGATACTATCAAAATTTACAAAACTTTACTAAGTAAGATACTCATATTTCTCGAAGAACCACTAGATCTATATATACATATATAACTACAGCTAGAAAATACTCCCTTTACTTGATAACGGTTCCTCCAAACTAGCTCTTTGAGTGATCTACAGAGAGATTCCACAGTATTCATGGAGAGATCTTCCAAAAGATAAGATTTTCTAAGTATTTCGAGGTAGAGATATGAAGATGAGAAGAGAACTGAAGAAAAGAAATGAAATAGAGATTTGACCTCTGAGAAACTTACTTCGATCCAAGAAGAACGGATGTTTGAGCTCAGATCTGAAGAAGATCCAGAGTTATTGGAGGTTTTCTCTAAGAAAGAAGAAGGAGAGAACGAAGAGGATGGAGAGGGATATGTGATTTGGTTGAAAATGAAGATTTTAGGGCGAGAGTTCATTGAATATCTCTCAAACTCGCGTCTTTCTCGCTACAGCGAAAAACCAGAAGTTTTCTTCCTTTGCTGTCTGTCATTCTAGCTACAGCGAGATATCCTATAGTTCATGTAACATCCTTATTTTTAATCAACATAATAACAATATAAAATTGGAGAAAATTCAGAATAACAGAAATTTAAATCGGAAAGACCTGAATAATAAGACATTAGCCTTTAAAACTGGTTAAGAGAACATCAAATAATATGATCATGTTTTCATAATGTACAGTAGATATCAGTACCTCCAAATATACATAAGAGTTATCAAAATACATCAGGACCATTCATTTACATTTACAAATATCAAAATAGTAATGGTCCTAATGAGCAGTCTGCTCACCAATGACTAAGTGGCACTAGTTTTTTCTGTGCCAACCCTCTATCATTGCTAGGTCTTCAGAATCCAGCTCGTCATCTAAGCTAAGGTACAGATCACCCGGATTGGTGGTGACCTGAGTACCCGTAATCTACTCAAGTGTCCATCGCAATGGTGTTCTGGAATGGTTGTGGTCATGGTACGTGACCAGATATGTTACTACTGTTGGGATTCTCTTAGTGCCAGAAAAGATATAAATATAGAGGGTATGATGGATTCGATACACAGACAAATCAAAAGGGATGCTAAAAGCTAATTTCAACTTCATCATAACTACCTCACTAAGTACTTCACTATCATAAACAAGAATTTTAAAGTAACTAAGTCTCTGGTATTCGCCAAATACATTATTTACATTATCTATTACAGAACTATCTATTACTCTCATTCCCTCTATGGGTGCTGTCATCTGGATTCCCTGAAATGGTTACGTAAGGATGAGTCTCTACATTCATTACCAAGCATACATACACAGAGAATTCAATAATACAGATAAAACATTCAACATGCATATATAACAATTCAGTTATGCATCTAAATTATGTTTATCTCTATTTATCCTTTCGATACTCATTTCCATATTCAATTCCATTCTCAATTACACTGTCATTTCCACTGCCCCTGGGATCCCTCGAGGTCTTCCTTAGCATAAATAGTCGCTGGATAGCCGCAACTACACGGATACAACGTGTGCCGACTCGACCCCTTTTAGCAAAAACATGGTCAAGAGTATTAGTCAGGAAATAAGTGTGAGGCATGTGGTGCTCCTACTCTCATTTGTGTTGTGTAATTCAAGAAGGAACGTATGGGTGTCGTGACTTGGATTATAATCTAAGTTTCTTAACTTGGAAACCCTTAAATACCTCTCAACTCGCGACATTCTCGCTATAGTGAGCCAATTCTCGCTACAGCGACTAATTCTTGCTACAGTGAGACTTTCTCTCGCTACAGCGAAAAAACCAGATAAAATTGCACTTTGTTATTTGTCATTCTAGCTACAGCGAGAGCTCCTCGCTACAACGTGATCATCCTCGCTACAGCGAGAGAGGACCAGAATGCCTGTTTTTAGATGCTGATTTCTCGCTATAGCGAGACATATCTCGCTACAGCAAAAAATCCTACAATTCAAACATCTAAAACTTTCTTAATTTCAAG